AGGGAGTGCCGCACTGTCAGAGGGTCAGTACTGAGGGAGTGCCGCACTGTCACACGGTCAATACTGAGGGAGTGCTGCACTGTTGGAGGGTCAGTTTTGAGGCAGTGCAGCACTGTCTGAGGGTCAGTACTGAGGGAGCGCCGCACTGTCGGAGGGTCAGTACTGAGGGAGTGCCGCACTGTCACAGGGTCAGTGCTGAGGGAGCGCTGCACTGTCAGGGGGTCAGTACTGAGGGAATGCTGCACTGTCAGAGGGTCAGTACTGAGGGAGCGCCGCACTGTCACAGAGTCAGTATTGAGGGAGTATCGCACTGTCAGAGGGTCAGTACTGAGGGAGTGCTGCACTGTCAGAGGGTCAGTACTGAGGGAGCGCCGCACTGTCGGAGGGTCAGTGCTGAGGGAGTGCCGCACTGTTAGAGGGTCAGTACTGAGGGAGTGCCGCACTGTCGGAGGGTCAGTACTGAGGGAGTGTCGCACTGTCGGAGGGTCAGTACTGAGGGAGTGCCGCACTGTCAGAGGGTCAGTACTGAGGGAGTGTCGCACTGTTGGAGGGTCAGTACTGAGGGAGCGCCGCACTGTGGTTCTGGTCCTGGTACAAGACGTGAGGTGTCGAATGGTGTAGTCTTGTTCCTGAGTAACGTTTCCCAGTGTTGTGATTGAAGTGCAGAGGGACAGGAGGATCTGGGTATCCTGGTTGATTAATCACACACACAGATAGTGTGAAGGTACAGTGAGCGGTTTGGACAGAGAATGGAATGATGTCTCTCATTTCCCAGGGAGTGGAATATAACAGCAGATGCATTGTAACAGCCACGGGAAGCTGATGGCCTCGATGGGGACATGGGTTCGAATCTCACTGCAGCAGATATTGGAATTCAATTAAAAATCTGGAATAAAGAATCTAATGATGACCGTGAATCCATTGTCGGGAAAACCCATCAGGTTCGCTAATGTCCTTCAGGGAAGGAAACTGTCATCCTTACCTGGTCTGGCCTACATGTGACTCCAGACCCACAGCAATGTGGTTGACTCTTAACTGCCCTCTGGGCAATTAGGGATGGGCATTAAATACTGGCCTGGCCAGCGACACCCTCATCCCATGAGTGAATAAAGGAAAAAATGGGCTCGATGAGGTCACATCCGGAGAACTGAGCCCAGGTTTGTTCTCCTGATTTGAAAATGTACATCAACGCAGTTCAGAGAAAGTTCACCCAACTTATCGCTGGTCTAATAACGACTTATCTTGTGAGGAAAGGCCAGGCGTGGATGCGTTGGAGTTGAAAAGAATGATCTCACTGAAACATGTGGGATCCTGAGGGCACAGGACAGGCTGAGGACAGGAAGATGTTCCCACTCACTGGGTGGGGCCGAGTGGAATGAGGGGGAATGCTGGCCCAGGAAGAGTGTCCGTTCAGGATAGAGATAACGGTCAATGGGATGTGGAATTCCTGTCCCCTGTGGAGGCTGATTTACTCAATAAACTCAAAACCAGATCGGCCGTTGTCTTCTCAGACAGAGGGATAGACTGGAAGGGCCCAAAGTGCCACTCCTGTTCTGGTGTGTGTGTGTGTGTGTATGTGTGTATGTCTCTGTGTGTGTCTCTGTGTGTGCGCGTGTGTGTGTGTACGTGTGTGTGTGTCTGTGTGTGTGCGCGTTTGTGTGTGTGCGCGCGTTTGTGTGTGTGTGCACGTGTATCTGTGTGTGTGCGTGTTTGTCTGTGTGTGTGTCTGTGTGTGCGCAAGTTTGTGTGTGTGTGTGTGCCTGTGTGTGTGTGCGTCTGTGTGTGTGTGTGGGTGTGTGCATGTGCTGGTGCGAGTGTGTGAGTGTGTGCGTATGTGCGTGCATGTGTGTGACTTGTGTGTCTGTGAACGTGGCTCTGAGTGTGCATGTGTGTGTGTGTGAGTAAGTGAGTGTGAGTGTGTGTGTGAGTGAGTGTGTGTGTGAGGGAGTGTGCATGTGTGAGTGTGTGTGTGTGAGTGTGTGAGTGAGTGTGTGTGAGTGTGTGTGAGTGTGTGTGAGTGTGTGTGTGTGTGTGAGTGTGTGTGAGTGTGAGTGAGCGAGTGTGTGTGTGAGTGAGTGAGTGTGTGAGTGAGTGTGTGTGAGAGTGAGTGTGTGTGTGAGTGTGAGTGTGAGTAAGTGTGTGAGTGTGTGAGTGTGTTTGTGTGAGTGAGTGTGTGTGTGTGTTTGTGTGAGCGTGTGTGAGTGTGTGTGTGTTTGTGTGTGTGCGTGTGTGTGTGTTTGTGTGAGTGTTTGTGTGAGTGAGTGTGTGTGAGTGAGCGTGTGTGAGTGAGTGTGTGTGAGTGTGAGTGAGTGTGTGTTGGGTGGGGCTGCTTTAGCGGGTGAGGGGTGGGTGTAGGGGTTTGGGTGATTTTGGTGGAACACCTCGCGGTGAGGATGGGAGGAGAGCCGGGCCTGACCTTGCCTGAAGCTGGAGACGATGGAAGTGTTTGGGCCATATCCATTTTCCGTGCCTCTGTTGCTGAGCTCAATGAGCTGGTGCAGACGGAGCTTCCTGCAATAAATCGATGCTGCCTCAGGTTCCAGTGCGATCAGCAACTGCTCAGGGTATGCGGGAGATGCAAGGCCAGACTGGGGCCAGGACGGTGGGAGTGGGAGAGAGAGGGAGAGAGAGACCCAGAGAGAGAGAGAGACCCAGAGAGAGAGAGAGACAGAGAGACCCAGAGAGAGAGAGAGAGAGATAGAGAGGGAGAGGGGGAGAGAGAGAGATTGAGAGAGAGAGAATGAGTGGAGGGTAGAGAGTGTGGTGGAGGGGGAAGAGAATGAGAGAAAGTGTGAGGGAGACGGGAGTGGGAAGGAGAGACAGGGTGGTGGGGCAGAAAGACAGAGGGGGTGGGGGAAGAGAGACAGGGAGAGAGAGGGGTGGGGAGAGTGAGAATGGGGATGGGAGAGAGAGGGAGAAGGGAGAAAACAGGGCAAGAGGGAGAAAAAGGGGAGAGAGAGAGGGTGAGAGGGAGAGGAGGGGGAGAGGCAAACAGGAGAGAGAGTGGGGGAGAGAGAGAATGGGGGGAGAGAGAGAATGGGGGAGAGAGAATGGGAGGAGAGAGAGAAGGGGGGGGGAGAGAATGAGGAGAGCGAGAATGGGGGGAGAGGGAGAGAATGGGGAGAGAGAGAGAGTGGGGAGAGTGTAAAAGTGACAGGGTGAGGGAGAGGAAGAGGGGACAGAGAACGAGGAGGAGAGAGAAGAGAGGGAGAAGGCAGCGAGACAGAGAGAGTGAGAGACAGAAACAGAAACAGAAGGAGAGAGAAAACAGTAACGTGACAGAAAATGAGAGTGACATTGAGTGAGATTCAGTGACAATGTTAGTGAAAAAGACAGTGGAAGAGAAAGGGTATGAGGCAAAGAGAGAGAGAGACAGATACAGAGAGAGAGGATGAGAAAGTGAGATGGCAAGGAGGAAGCAGAATGTGAGAGAGGGGCAGAGAGAGGGGTAGTGCAGGGAAAGACAGAGAGAGGGATAGAGGGAGAAGATGAAGAGTGGTACAGAAGAACAATGGAACAGATACTCAGTTGATAACATCAACATTTCAGTGATTAAAAATGAGAAATACTTGATCCAGCAAATATGAAGAGTACATTCACACAATGGATGATAACTTGTGATTCCCCATGTCCCTGTGATCAAATCCAGCAATCACATTCACTGCTCCACTTCATGCTAAATCATATCTCTTCAGAGAGAGGACAGACAACACTGTGCCTGTTATCGCTCAGTCTGTA